ACCGGAGATCTCAGGACGTGTTGGGTCGACTACCTTCACGACCAGGTAGACTCAGGGTCCTAGTAGCTGTATATGACGGGTCTGTGGTACCCCAACCCAGTTACCTCTACCTTTTAGGATCACTCTACCTCCCTTTTATTGAGCCTCTTTGAGACCTATTGCTCCTTAACTTCTTTAATATCATTTTGACGACCCGATGCCCATGAGCTGCCACCCATTTAGGATACAACGATTTGTCATCTGCCCTTATGACCCGGACGTGCTTTGACGTATTGGGATATCCCCGTCAAGATGATTATGGTTATTCCGTGGGTTTTGTATGTCAATGAGCCGCTACCCATTCGGGATGTGAGAGACTCACTCTCTGCCCGATGGTTTAGTGCGAGCTTTGAAGCATCATGATTGTTCCCACACAGAATAACCTTCATTTGAGTGCCTATTGCCCCAAGTTCATGATAATCTAAGTGAAACTCTTTTTATCTAGAGTATTCTTGGGTACCCACCAAGATGTAATTAACCGGGTGGGATATATCCCATTGGGAGTTCTCTTGACCCCATAATAGGCACTTATACCTGACTCTCTGGTTTTGGGTAGTTTACGTAGGCATTCTTTCATGGATATTGGTTTAAGGTGCTTTTCACCGATCTTGTTTGGGCGGACACTCATAATCTATCCTTGCGAGGTTTACCGCACGTATGCTCTCCACGTTTTGTGTTTTCTCTTGTTTGTCGCTTTGTCGTATGTCCCTCCTTTTTGGTTCCTCCCTTCTCTTGGTCATTCATATGACTCGAAAAATAGATTTATTTGGGAAAGGGAAATATACGACGATCGACAAACTAGCGACTCCTTTTAAAATAAAAAATAGAAAAACGAACGAAAACAGATTACATGGCTCAAAATGGCTCAACAAAGGAGAGATAGAATAACCCTAATCGTGTAGAGATAATCGGGTCAAAATACCATGGATCCGTCATCCCAAACTGTTAGGACCCTAAGTCTATCAAGTCGTGAGGTTAGTTGACCCAACACAACCAAAGTCCCCTTATCAACAATCAGTGAATTGCGTCGTCTAAGGAGATCTCGGTAGCCCTGAAGTCAAAAGAAGAAACTCAAAGTCTTATGACCTATACAGGTAGAGCTCACAGAGGTAGGATTTACACCTGCCAAATAAGTGGTAAGGAAGGCCACCAGATAAAAGGGAAAAATAGGTCTAGCTACAAATCTAAAAACACTCTCAACAAAAGACTTACACATTGTCTAGGTCGAGGAAGCCTCTAACGTGTTAGACAACTACCTAAGTATAAAAACTTATATTTGGTTGATCAGGTTGAAGAGCACGATGATTTTTCTCGAGACATGCAATATGATGCAATTATCAGAGGCCCAATAAGGGATTACTTGAGAGAAAACCATGCATGTTAGTTATTTTAAAATCTGTCTGAAGGCCATACAGAAAAGTAAAGTGCGTATTTTAAATAGTTGACTGCCGTAATCCTAAATTCTTTTATTATGATTTTGTTGAAAGTTTACAATATTAGGGTCCTTAAAGAACCTAAATTATAACGTTGGATTCCTAGACAAACAATAAGGTAAAAACGATAAAACTGGCAAGCACATGCAAGAAGCAGGAAAGTAAACATGTCAAACAAATAAATAATAACAAATCGGTTGCCCTGGGTTAGGAACATATCTCAAAAAGCAAAAATGGCAGCCAAGCACAACATATACATGCCTAGTTTTAAATGATACACATCAAAGAAAATGCAGAATTAAGATATGCGACACAAACATCTATTCCTGGTCCTCGCTACATGGTTTCAGGCCTCAAGCGTCTCGTAACCTATGCCCGTATTTTTATTATCGCTACAGACTCTACTAGGATTATTAAAAGTACATATAAAAGTCCAAAAAAAGACTTAACCTGCATGAAAATCATGTTAGCAAAAGGGCTATCTACATGCAACATATTGAACCATGCCTAATGGGAAGAAAACTAAACAACATCTGCAAGCAAAGGGTTAGCTTTAAATCATTACAACTCATCTCTATTAGACATGACTCCCTAAAAAAAGTCCACCCCTAAAATTCTAGTACACAAGTCTCACACTAGTAACCACACAATGTAGAACAAAAGTGAAACCTAGTTGGGGCAACCAAACAAGTAGAGAACTACAGTCAGGACATCGACAAAACCACCTAGCAGCAGAGTCCTAACCTAGCACATCATTTACCACAGTGTTTATCATAATATCTAAGTGTTTGCACATTGCATGGGTAAAGTCGCGGTGTAATATTTTAATGGGGTCGCCAAACTGGCTCCGTCGTAAATATCTAAAGGATTTAAAGTACATCACTAAATGGGGTGACATTTTAAAATAAGTGACCTCACACATGGCCTAACTCATATAGATTTAAAATTAGGATAGATAATATATAATAGAAAAATATCCATATTTTTAGGGTCATTAAAAGCGGGTCCCTTAGATCTTTAGGATGAGCAGTGGATCATAATATGAAAACTCGCATTACTCTCTAAGCTATCCTCACAAACAATACTCGTTTAGGTAGTATGGCCAAAAAAAATGGTCGCTCATCTTAACTAGCAAGTTATGTCATCAAGGAAAATAGGCAACATTCATAAAATCGTGCAAAAGACCCAACATATTGTGATTGTCGACTGAAGCAAGAACAATCAACAATCACAATGATCATCAACGAGCTAAACCACACATCATGCAAATATGAATGCAAGAATGCCACATGCAGATGATACACACAAAGTGGACATACCAGGTACATGATATCTTACCTTTAAGAGGGATTACACCATCCCTAGGAAACCACACCGAATGTCATGCAATGAGCAGTCAAAGCTATGAATTGATTTGCATCGAGTATAGGATATTGATAAGGGAATTACTCTGTACCAGAGAGGCACCCAAATTAGCACATGCAAACATGCAGTTATAGCAACATGTATGAGTAAGTGCCAAACATAAAGATGATTACAAAAGATGATTAGTGCCAAACATACTGAGCAGTGTGATTCATATAAGTGAGAATCACATGCCCAAATGGACACACACTGTGTCGTGTATGAGTTCGGTGGCTAAAGAGCATAACTCGTACCAAACACAATGTGAAATACTTATGACATCCCTAGACAATGTCATAGGGAATGAGGTAGCATGACTCTCATGAAAGAAACCTGTGTAGCAGGTGGCCTTATATGTGAGCCACCTCCTCACGAAGTGTGCAAGCATTTCTCCCTGTGCATACACTGAAGTATGTGGGAAGGATACTTCCAGATGCAGATGCTTAAAGAGACACCGCAAGTAAAAGTGCTAAAAGAGACACCCAAAACTATCAAATGCTAAAGAAAAGCATACAAGGCAAACAAAATGCAACATGCAATGAAATATATATCATATACACAAAGTTACAAATGAATTTTCATACAGATGAAGGAGCATGCAATATGCAAACACCACAATCAAATGATGTGAAGATGAACAAATGCACACAAGCATGCACAAGTCAAGCGAAGTTGGTCAAAGATGGCCAACCTGACCAGGGTAATCGGTTGATCTGGCTGTGACGGTCGATCTGGCGATGACGACCGATCAAACCAAAGAGATGGGTCGATTGAGTTGGGATAGACGATCAAACCCAAGTGATCGAGAGATCGGACTCGAGGCGGCCGATAGAACTCGAGTGATCGGGTGATCAGATCAAGGCAACCAATCGAACCCTAGTGAATGGGTGATCGGACCGGGGCAGCCTATCGAACCTAAAGGATAGGGTGATAGAGTCATGGAAGCCGATCAAATGACAATTGCTTGCACACTTATATATATATATATATATAAGGAATGATCAGAGGCTATAATACGAACCTCCAACCACACCTAATGTGCCTAGCAATTTAGTACCACCTTTTTAAGGCCAACTGAGCCACAGGGGATTCGAACCTAAAGGATATACCGTGGATATCAACTAACAGGTTGGGGTACGTGGCGCGCGCACACACACAGATATATATATATATATATATATATATGTTAAATAAGCTTTATTTACTATGATAAATCTCGGTCACTGAGTTTCATACGACATTATGAATCATAAGCCCCAAACCAATCGAATAGATTGCACAATCATTATTTATATGGAAAATTTGATGTCCTATTGATCCGTTGATCTTATTTTATAAACTAAACCTGCTGTAATTATCATATATTATACTTTTCTTAAATTGTCTTCGGATGGCATAAAACTTCATTCAATGCTCATGAGTTGCTATGATATGTAAAATAATCATATAGTTAATTTTTAATCTTATAGTTAATACAAATAAAATCTTATAGTTAATCTTAAATAGTAAATACACACATTTTTATTGAATTACAGAATTCAATTAAAAATTAGTATGATATATGCCTAATTATATATTTTATAATTTTAAACTCGTTGATGAAAAAAATTAATTATGGAATATATTTCAAAATTAATGTAATATATGTCTAATTTATATTATATTTAAATATAAAATATATTTTATAATTTAAATTTTCATTATTGTTGAAATTTAGTGAGGTCATCTTAAATAATTTATGATCGAATATTTTATCCGTGAAAAAGATTTTGCAGCTTTCCTTCTAAGTATTTACTTGTTTAGCATAAAAATAAATAAGGAAGATTTACATATATATCACTCAATTCTTGCATATTTGCTTATTTAACATCTAAAATTTATTTTTTTGCATAGATGTCATTTTATATTTTATATTTTATTTGTGCATGAAAATCATAATTCACATTTTAAAACTCTTAATAGTAACATTTTTTATAAGATACGAAAATTTTGATTGGTATAAATGTAAAAGATAGAGATTTGATGGATAAATACATAGAAATTGTATGACATGTTTGTATTCCCCAATAAATAATTACTCACAGGAATCGTAACGCGGACTGCCATAAATTCCCTCTCTGCCTCTCCCGCCTCAAAATCCTCCCCTGTTCTTCTCTTCCCTTCAAGGGAAATCGGAGCTCAAAGAATCCCCTGGGAACGAAGACCACCATGACTACTTCAATCCCTACCCCTGCTCCACCACCTTACACTCCTCCGCCTCCCATACTCCGATCAAAAACTCTCCTGAAACAGAAATCGTGGTCGCCGGAACTGGATTACAAGGAATCCTGGCAGCGCCGCAAAAGCCTCTCACTCGATCGACGCAATCGCCGCTCCATCAGCGTCACCGATGAAGACATCGACGAGCTCCGCGGATTCCTCGATCTCGGAATTGTGTTCGGCGATGAATGCCCTGACGATGGCAATTGTTCTAAGAAGCTGTCGGAAGCTTTGCCGGCTCTCGATCTTTACTTGGCGCTTCGCCGCTCTTTTCGCGGTTCGGTCGCCGGCGAGAGTTCATCGGCGTCCGATTCCATTTCTTCTCCCGATGTTTCTCCCGCCGAAAGCCCCCTTTCGATGTTCGCAATATCTCCGAGTAATTCACTTGCCCTTTTTTTTCCTTTTGTTAAATTATAATGATGATATAATTTAACTAGTAATTAACAATAAATAAATAAAATAAATTTATAAATAAGGGTAATTTACATACATGCCACTCCATATATACTTATTATATTAATTTAAAGTTAATGATTATTAATTATAATTAGATATAAAACAGGAATTCCAATTAATAAAACACTGAAATATTTGATATATAAAATACATCTCTTATATTTTATTTACAATCTGCGCTTTATCATTTAAAGTTAAATTAAGAAGTATGATGAAAAATTATTTATTTCAAGTTAATTTTGATGGGATAAATCGAGTAATGCTTATAATTTTTTTATTTTTAAATTTGCACTAATTACAGGTGAGAGTCAAGAGGCGCGGCAAGCGGGTATAAAACGGTGGGCTCGACTGGTGGCTTTGGCGGCGCGCGACTCCTACTGAATTCGAATATTATGACACTTACTAAAAAAAATGTTAGGTGTTGTTATTCATTTTTGTGCATCTAGAGAAAATATTATGTGTGGCGGACCGTTCGTTTAGACGATCATCCGGATGCAATCACTCTGCCGAGATAGTTGTGACTGAATAGTCATTAAATGTTTTTGGTTGGATGTAAAATATTATAAACATGATTATAATACATTTTACAGTTTTTAAATTAATAATTATAGTCAATAGTGATTGGATAAATTTTAAAATAACTAAAAGGCAATTAATTATTTAATTAGTTATATAGGTTTAGGAGACCTAAGAATTTGTGCATGTCTATTTACTTTGGAATATTCGCTCATAAAATTGAAAAATTATTCCATACGAAAATATATATGGTGTCCGATCTCAACCGTCGATCACCGCAAATATGTATTTCGGTGGACCTTATTTTCAATTTTTTTTTTTAAAGTTTGATCGCCGTCCAAATAGATGATCGAGGGAGGAGATCAGACACTGCATGCATTTCTGCATGAGGTGTCCGTATAAAATAATTTTTCCATAAAATTGAACACCTTGGCATGAAAATTTCAATACCATTGTCATAATGATATATTAATTAGGATTTTTGGAGGCTTTTGGAATAGCAATAGAAGTTTAATGGGAATCTAAAATGTAATTAAATTCTGAAAAAGGTAAACTGTCATGGTTAGCAAGAAAATGTCGAAATAATAAAATAAAGGGATTTTTTCATTCATAGCACTCAATTCTCATGTATTTACATAATTTCAATTGTTACATATATGTCATTTTATATAAACATGGCAATGCGTTGAAGTGGTGATATTTTGTCATATGAAAGGTTTACATGGCATAAATGTAAAATATAAAATTAGATTTTATTAACTAGATATGTAAATACAAAGGTAAATGCGTCAAAAAATTAGCTTGTGTTTGGTTCCTAGGAATTTGAGATGAATAAATAAAAAACTAATAGGTAGATGGAATTGCTATTGAAATTATCGAAACATTAAATATTTAAATTACACTTAAGTACTTCATTAATAAATCAACCCATTAAATATTAAAATTACATTTAAGTGCTTCATTCGTGATCCTTCCACCTCGATTGCTATTTGGAATTTATGTTCCTAGGGGCGTAAACGAGCCGAACAGGAGCTGAGCCTCGTGTTTGGCTCGTTTATATTTCGAGCTCAAAAAGCATGTTCGTGTTCAACTCGTTTGCTTAACAAGCCGAACATGAGTCTTTTACGAACAAAGAGCTGTTTTAACAACCTTAGTACGTAGTCATAAGATGTTACGGATTGGGGCAAGATTTAAAAATTATTGTTTATATTAAAACATCATTTGAATCGAATTTAATATCTTTCATTCTCAATTTTTATAGTTTTGTAGTCAATTAAAATTTTTAAAAATACTACTAATCAAATATATATATATATAATTGATTAGTAATATTTCGAGCTAAAATGAGTCGAACATGAACGAACAAATTTTTGTTCTTGTTATTCGTGTTCGGCTCGTTAACTTAGCGAACAAGCCGAACACGAGCTGTTCGTGAACAATGAGCCGTTTTGACAGCCCTATATGTGCCAATGAGAATATAATTTATGAGCCACAGAAGTATGAGTTTGAGTTTTGTCATAAATTTTGATATTTCAGCGAGTATTTAGAAAATGAATCTAAGAGGGCGCTTGCTTTGTGAATAGCAATGTTTAATTGTCCATTCAAAAAACTTTAGATATATATATAAAATATATATTTTTTATTTACATTAATTCTATAAAATTATATTGCAGCCTCCTCATTATATTTAATGTGTGGTCTACTTAAAAAAAAATGATAAGAAAATTACTGGGAGACTTAGGGTGCGTTTAGGGCAGCTTGTGCGTTTCAGGATAAGCTACTTATCCTCAAACGGAGCCCGCGGGCGGGCCTCAGGGTTCCGCCCGCGGTCTGCGTTTAGTGTAAAAACACAAACACGATTTCGGATAAGCTGGAGAAACATGCGAATCAAACGGTATGACGGCATTTTAAAAATGTCGCCCGCGCTTATAAGCTGTCCCAAACGAGTCCTTAAATCCTCCAAATATAGCCTGCACGGTCACGTACATCATGCACGGGTAATAAACTTTTTTCACATTAAGTTAATTTAAAAGAAAAAGAAATCAATTTAGTGGATAACACTATTTGCAATTTAATTAATATTAAAATAAAATAGCCTAGTTGACGGCTTTTCTAATAAATTTAATGAAAATATGCACTTTATTTTATTTAAATAACCTAAAGATTTTTGGAGTATTTTTACGTGAAAGTGAGAATGAAGTGCGGCTCCTGGTAGACATGCCCGTGATATGAGATCGTCAGGCACAGACGCAGCTGCCTAAAAGTGAAAAGAGGCCAATTAAAGGTGATAAAAAGGAGAGAAGCAGCTCGTGAACTTTCTTCCTGTAAATTATCCATGAAAGTGTAGCCACAAACAATGCAATTTGAGAAAACAGAAGGGAGGAAAATGAAATATTCTAGAACAAGGTCAATAGATTTTCATGTGTAAGAGATAAAAATCCATCTAGAAAATAATTTAAAAATATGGGGGATTAACACCCACGTAAAATTTGTATTTTCACTTTTCTGGTCATACAATTTGATCATTTGTCCATTCTGAAATACCAGTCTTGTTTATAGGAGGACAATTTACCCCCCTAATTTACATGCATACCACATAGAATTGTGGCATTTACATATTTAGTAGTAAATATCCATACCATCTACCCCACGAGAAATAAATGCTCATAACTCACCTTTCTCTCCCTCTCTCAACATCATTCACCCCGTCCCGTTAAATCACACGGGTTGGGAGAGGGAGCGGGTGGTTTGCGCGCTTATTTCCGGTGAGATAGATGATACGGGCATAATATCTATTGTTAGGTGTTAAATATGTAAATGTCACAATTTCGCATGGTATGTACGTAAATCCGAAAATCCACCAAAAAATATTTGATTTATATTTACCTACACATACCAGAGTACAATTCTTATGTATTTTATATCAAACGGTTAAATTTTAATTTTTTTTTTACATTTATAATACTAAATCTTTTATATCACACAAAAATATTATTATCAAACACAATTTCTTAAGCATAGTTACAGCGGTATGAGTGCCAAAATTAAAATTCAGGTGTTAGATATGTAAATACAGTATTGTGTGGCATGTCTGTAAATCAATTTATTGTATTTGCATGTGCTTTTTTTTTTATTTGCCGCATAATTATGATTGAATATTGTTATGAGGTAGAAAATTCACGGCAATGGAACGTTTTGGCCTTGCACAAATATCAAACACGTGCAGATAAAGAAAAAGTTATAGGAGTAGATACTAGAGGTTTTTACGTGGAAAAAATCTTTAATGAGAAAATATCATAGGGTCTAACTCAGTTAGAAATGATTCCTCGTGAAATTAAGAATACGAAGATCCACTCTTCACTTGGGTTAGGGAGGAAGACGTTATAAAATGATGCTGAAATCAAAATTGCTTTGAAATAACACAATATATATAATTGTATAAGACTAATTGGGATTATAATTGTTGTAGTTGGACTACAATAGATGTAGCAGGGCAAAAATAGTCAGGGTTAATTATACAAGTCATGGTTGACTATAGGAGCCATAGTTTATGACCACGACAACCATACTAGAGCTACCAAAGTCATAGTTGGAGGTTATAGCAATCGTAATTTGCTAGAAAAGTCATAGTAATGGGAAACTTATGGTTATCAAAGTCGTAGTTAGTGGTGGTAAACAATAGTTAGTGGTCGATAGTTATCTCTAATGATCATAGACGTCCTTTAGTGGTCGGTGGTGAAATTTAGGGATCAACTGTGATTTTGGGTGACTCGCAGTGACTAGAGAAAACCACCTGGACTTTATGAGTTATGTCTTGATAGTTAGCTCACTATTCTCTTCTTATCCTCCGTTCAAGTAAATAATGAGTTTATTTAAAATTTTTAAGAGGGATGTTTTGATTACTTTAGTCATAATCTTGAAACACTTCAACGAACAGTTTACATTGATTCTCTTCATCATCAATACTTGCTTCAATTTTTAAGTATCTTTATAATCTTAGAATTACGAGCACTTTAGTTACTTCTAGTTAAGATTTGATCATAAATAAGTCAAATTTTGTAATGGTTCAGATTGCATCCATTTGGGCATAATTGAGTTCATTGGGCCAAGATGCTGGGCTTGATTATGAGTTTGTTCATGTTTGGGCTCCAACTTTATAAGCCCAGAAAACAACGCACGCGAGCTTTTACGCCACGTTTAAGTAACAGCTCATCATCGTCTGTACACGTGACCAGCCCACGTTTCAACCGTCGTAAACTTACGCGCGCTCCCAACGTTTAAATACCAGCCGCCGCTGTCGGCTCCCATCGCCCCCAAACAATTTCCTCCAACATGGAACCAAATCCTCCCACCAAACGCCGCCTCTCCGCCGAGCAAGAAACCTCAATCCTCATCGAATCTCTCATCCACGTCATCTCCGGCATGCCCGATGACACCGCCCCGACGTTCTCCCTCCCCGCTGTCGATAATTGCAAGCAATGCGGCGTCGACGGCTGCCTCGGCTGCCATTTCTTCGAATCCTCGGTTTTGAGTGAGGACAAGCGGTCGAAGAGGAGGAAGAGGGAGAAAAGGATTAAGTATCGAGGAGTTCGGCAACGACCGTGGGGGAAATGGGTGGCGGAGATTCGCGATCCGCGGCGAGCTGTTAGGAAGTGGTTGGGAACTTTCGATACGGCTGAGGAAGCTGCTCGCGCCTATGATAAGGCTGCGATCGAGTTTCGTGGCGCTCGAGCTAAGCTTAATTTTTCATCAGTGGATCAAGTTATTGAGTTGACACCGACGGCGGGGACGACAGAGGAAGAGATAAGTCGTGAATCTCCAGATGAGTGGATATATCTAGAATAGGATTTACTTAGTTTCGAAATCATTTTGAGAAGTATAATAAAATAGCAGTTTTCAAATTCATATTATTCTTACCTCATATTTAATATTTTTTACATGAATGATTTTTTTTTTAATTTGCATTAGGAGGGTAAAATTGTAAGAATAATTTGAATAAAGGATGTATGATTTTTTTTTTTTTTAATTTCTTTGACCGTTAAAGTTACAAAGAGCAATAAATGACTTTAAAGTTAGTTTTGACTAAAAATGTGCTATCTCTCTCTCTCTAAGTATAATTTAGTAACGGTCTAAGACTATTAGACGAGTTCCGATCATCCCCATATGTGCTAAATATTAGAATACCACACCTTATAGTGATTTGAATCCGTGACCAGAGGGGACTTGCGACCTTCAGAGAAGCTGATGTCAACCAACAGACTGAGGTGCATGGCCACGCGCGCTGACATAGCCTTAGACATATCACCAAAAGTGGATCAAATCAAATATATTTAAAAAAAAAAAAGTGAACTTTAATCCAAAAAGAAAATAATTGTAAAAGAAAATTAAAATGTATCAAAGAGGGAACAAATCATGGTAAAAACAATTATTCAATTTCGCCACAACCCTCTAAGAAACTAATTAATTGAAGCTCCTGTGAAGAGAGATGACTTACATGTGTGTTTAAGAAGTGGCAAAGTCAGTCCACGAAGATATGGTAAGCATTCTGCTTGGACCCAATGATTGTTGTCATGTCTACAATAATTCTATGGCGGTCCATTATCTCTGAGATTTATTGTAATTTTTTTTTTTCCATCAATAATTGATTAGTCAATATCATTCACATTAACAAGGCTACTTTTCCATGTATGAGATTATAAATAAATTAATACACCCAACAAATAATTTAATAATTTTATGTTTATTTATTTAAATAATTAAATAATGTTAAATAAAAATTTGAACATCTATACAATTATCATTGATTTATGTTCACAACTATGAATATATGTCATTTAATGAATAACTAATAAAAAAAAAAAAAACTAAATCACCTGCATATTTAGTTACTTTTCAAAAACTCCATTTCCACCAACATGGGAGGATGGGATTGGGGAATTGAGGTAAAAGAATATGTCTTTAAATGAACCGAGCATTCAATGAGCTACTCTCAACGACTTAATTAGAATTCATTCATGATCGTTCGAGTAACTAATAAAGCGAGCATGGACAACTTCATAAATAGACAGTTGTTATATGATCGAACTTGAGAAGCTTGTTGTTTTATTCATTTATGTTCATGAGTTGTATCATTTAAAACTCGTGAACAAAATTTATTAAAAAGTTTAATTATGACTCCTAGAACTCATTCATTAATAGTATCATTTGAATGTTTGCTTTTTAGGCTCAAAAAGCCTTATTTGATACACGTTGATAAATTAGGGCGAGGAAAAAAACAGTAATTGACACAAATCCAGAAGAACACACATAGATTTAATGAGATTCGACAAAGATGTCTATGTCACCAGGAGCAGAGCGATGACTTTTCCACTAATCCAGAAAAAAGAGTACAAGATACAAAATATGGGATAAAACCTAGGGTTACATACATACCTATTTATAACCTTAGAAAGAACAGTAAAGAAAATCATGGGTACAATATGTAATTACCAAATTACCCCTGTACCAAATTACCCCTGTACCCCCAACCCACATAATGAAACTCCCCCGATTGGACAGATCTTTCCGCTCCACTCCACTCCAGATCTGTCTCATTTATGATATGAGTCATACCTAACAATACGTCTTACTTATTCTTCCAAAGACGTCGCTTGTATAAAGTTCGAGTTAGGCTCAATTATGACTCATTTATCATATTAAACAAGTTGCTCTTTAATAAGCTCAATAATCACTATATGAACTCAAGTCAAATCGAGCTTGAGCCGAGCTCAAATAGGGTTCTAAGAAATACGCTCAAGCTCAAAGCGAACTTGAGCCGAGCACGACCCTGCTTGTAATAATTGAGCTCAATCTCAAATGAATATATGCTCAACTTGGCTCAATTCGTTTACAGCCCTAAGAGCGGGAGAAAAAGAAAAACTAAGTTGGAGGGTGTTAGAAAAAAACTAATTTTTAATTGACCCAATTTATTTATTATTAATTACATGTTTATATCATATTACTCAAAAAAAAAAAAAAATCAAACGTCTATGAGCCGTTTGATTGAATTACCGTCAATTAACTGCGTGCCTTCTCAAAGGGAAGATAAACCTAATTTATTTTTTCATGAAGAATTATTCAGGAATCATATGTATGGATTGGCTCTATTTAGGGTTTACTAAGCAGAGTACATCCTAAATACACTCAATATATTTGCGAAACATAGGAGAAATGAGAATTCAAACTCTATTGGAATATATATATATATATATATATATATATATAGCACCTAAGTTTGACTCTCTTTTTTTTAACATTTAAACATTTAAATCTTTCACATAGCATCAAAAATATTACATTTTCTATTTTAAAAGGTGAAATGCACCATAGGAAAAGATGGAATGTATGTAAAAATTGAAGTATCGGGTTAGATTCGACTACCAAAATTGAGTGACATGCATGTAAATCTTCGTATATTATTTTACGAGGTATTTACATTCATAGCACAAAATTCCTATACATTTTGATATCTAACACCTAAATTTTACTTTTTAATATTTATACCGCTTAAAATCTTTTATATACCTTTTTATTCATAGGTAAACTCGCATATATGTAAGAAAAATATTATAATTTAGGTGCTAGACATGTAAATACAAAGGAATTGAGTGGTATGCATGTAAATCGTACTATTTTTTTTGGATCTAACCATAAAACCTGCATATATCCAACGTAAGTCTTGCTACCAACAACAACTACATAATAAGAAGCGATAAATTCTAAGGTTGTTACAGACAATACAACTCAATTATTTAATATTACATAAAATATATCACTACTACTTTTAAAAAAATACGAGATTTTAGATGTTTGCATGTAAATGCACAAGAATTGTGAGATCTCTCCATAAATTTCCACAAACAAATCCAAATTCTCCCATGGACACAAGCATGTATGCATGCACTTGAGCGTATAAGTAGGCAATGTTGCTCCTGATTTAACCACCACCACCACCACCACCACCATACAACTTGTAGGTTGTTTGGGATCACTTTTGATTTCGTATTTTACTTATTTTTATTTTATTTTATTTATATTTTAATTTAAAAATATATATTTAGCTATTTTCACCCAAAAAAAAAAAGTTTTTTAAGACATAAAATAGAAACATACAAAAACTAAACTAAACAAACACATCTTCAAAATAAAAGAAAAAAAAAAATCCCAAAACTAGCGTTCATGTTAAGGGAACAAAACTGAAGGACTCATACGGACACTCAAAAACGGTTTCAAGCAAAAAGCAAAGCTTCTTAACAAGGAGCATCTAGTTCTTTTGAAGTAAGAAAACAAAAAGTCTCTTATCAAACAGACATGTGGTTTTATTACCAAAAAGAAAATGTAAACTACAGATAAATCCACACATTAGCCATCTTACACAAACTACAAAATAAAATTGGAGCAAAAGCGCATGGCCACTTTACAAACCATTCTTTTGAATTACATAGCCCATTGCAACTGGTTTTTTACGAACGCAATCATCAACATCATCACCGTTAGCTTTCTCCCATCCAGACTTTGTCTTCGCTTATCTCACACCCTTCATCTTGAATGATTGAGCATTTAGAATGTCTAAAAAAACATAGGATTTGTAAAATGTGACAGACAATTCCAATCTGGTAATCTATACCATATATATAGAGAGAGAGAAAGAGAGTGAGAGAGAGAGAGAGAGAGACCAGGTTCTGAGTTTCATGAACCTCGCTCCCCAAACCTGAAAAATGAAGATAAAACATGAGTTATATCAGGAATCAAGAACTTGTGAAAAAAATCTAAGAACGAAGCCACAGAGAAGAGGAAATGAAAGGGCAAAGAACCTTTGAAAGAACATTGGTGTTCTCTTTGCGGAAGCAAAAGGCGGCTCTGGGACTCGGACCTTTTGTTTGGTCATATAATCATATATACACACACAATAGATCAGCTGTACATAGTCGAATGTTTATAAAACTGAGACAAGGGAAGCATTACTATTAATACTCTGCACATTTTGGAAGTCGCCACATTCAGGTTCAACCAAGGAAAACATCTTCAGATCAGAGCGAGAGTTGCTTACCTTAGGTGGGCGCATATAGCATGCTTCCTTCGCAATCTCCATCAATCTTTAGTATATCACTACTTCAATGTCATATAAGTACAAGTGGTGTCATATAAGTACAAGCGGATCTCTATACATTGATACATATACACATTCATTTATACATCAAATGTATCGAAAAAGACATCATTTATGCAGCATTTATTAAATCAGATATCATGAAATGATCTGATGTGTGAGTAGCAAGCATCACTGGCAGTAAATACTTCGAGGCAAACCCAACATATATGCCGGCCGCACCGACACTCAACATGGTTGCACCCATCTACCTTCTCAATCACATGTCTACAGACAGGGCAATCCTTAACATTCTCCCTCCCCAATCTCCAATCATGCAGTGAAAAATCAGGACTCTCTTTGTACTCTCTGTACCGTTCGCAGCTGATTAATGCATGATATTCAAGGTGGCACCATGTGCAAGTTTCAACGGAGCAAGCTCCACACACAAACGGTCCATCGGACAAAGCCGCCTCCTCCGATGCAGCTACTTTGTAGATCCCCGGACAGTCCGGAGTTGGGCAGAAGCGGTAATCCCCACCATTGCTTGCTACAAACCAGGCAATTGAGGCCTGGAAGAGTTCTTCTAGTTTCTCTCCAAGAAGAAGGGCTTTCAGGTCAGTAAGTAGAAGAAGTTCCTGACAATCCTCCTTGGCACATCTCAGTGGAAACCCATCCCGAGACCTAATAGTCGCCTCACATTGGTTCACCAGGCAGCCCTGACAGAACTTGTGCCCACAAGTTTCAAGACGGAAGGGTTCATCCAGTTCACACAAGCAAATGTGGCACATGGTTTCAGGAATTGGTGATGACTGAAGAGAGCCGCTGCTTAGGGAGGTTGCCAAGCCAGAAATCACCTCCTCCACTTTCTGTTTTTGTTCCATGCTTCCACGAGCAGACAGAACAAGCCGTCGGGTGCTAAGAGTTAACTCAACCCCTGAAACAAGTAAGCGAAGCCCTTGAAGGTCTGCACCGAATCTCAGGATGACTTCTTTCATCAAATTTGGGGGAAGATTGTGACCCCGAAGGCGAATGTCTAGTGGCCTGTTATCATAAAGATGTTGCAAGGATTGGACCAGTTTTTCCTCAACAGCAACAACATCATTTGGAGAACCAAACAGCTTAATGTGAAAGTTCTGCCTATCATAAAAAATATAAGTTCCAGTCTCCCTCTCTAGCGACTTGAGGAGATTGATGCCGTCACGAGACAATAGGAGTTGTGTCAGCGAAGGAGTTAGGCCTGGATGAGTTAATGTCTTCCCTTTCATGAGATTCTCAAGAGGCCTTCTCACATCCGCAATGATTTTGGTTGCATGAGCAGACAACTTAACGCGGTAGGAACCATTGACATTTCTGTCCACTGAATAGGTTACACCTGGAAGAATTGAGAAGAAAAGGACATGTTTTACATTCAAATTAATTCCTTATAGCAAGAGAAATTAAGAATAAGTACTGGATTGTATGCTGTGTCGAAATGATTTCTTGATTCAAAACAAGCGAGATCTTCTCAGCAATGATTATAGTTGAATGACCAGTTAATTGATGATAACTTCACTTAAATTCACAAGGCATTGCATGGTTTAGTATTTTGTATGGTTAAACTCTGAAGTTGAAATGACATTTTCTGGATGCATTACCCGGAATTTAAATCCATTTTGATAGCTTCCCACATTACGGGCGAATGCGGGTAAAGAAGTTAGTCCATGAAACTAATGAAACTAATATTAGGATAGGATCTTGGAATATAGGCACTCTCAATGGTAAATTAATGGAATTAGTTGATATTATGATTCATAGGAAAATTAATATCTTATGTATTCAAGAAACTAAGTGGGTTGGAGAAAAGGCTAAGGAGATTGATAATGTAGGTTTTAAACTTTGGTATTCAGATAAGAGTCGCACTAAAAATGGTGTAGGTGTAATTATAAATAAGAGTTTGAAAGATAATGTTGTAAAAATTAATAGAGTTGGTGATAGAATTATAGCCCTTAAGATTATCATTGATACTAAGATTTTTAATATTATAAGTGTTTATGCTCCTCAAGTAGGTTTAGATACAGAGTCTAAAGATAAATTTTGGAATGACTTAGAAGACTTAATACAAATGATACCTCTTGAAGAAAGAATTTTTATTGGAGGAGATTTAAATGGACATGTCGGTAAAGTGGTAGAAGATTTCAGAAATATTCATGGTGGCTACGGTTTTGGAGTAACTAATGAAGAAGGTAAAGTTATTTTAGATTTTGCTTTAGCGTTTGATTTTGTTATTACTAATACTTTATTCAAGAAAAGGGATGAACATCTTATTACTTATAAGAGTGGATCTAATAAAACACAAATTGATTATTTTCTTATGAGAAGAAGAGATCGCCGTGATTGTAAAGATTGTAAAGTTATTCCAAGTGAAAATTTAAATACCCAACATCGTTTATTAGTTTTAGATTTTAAGATTAAGAGTTGTAAAATAAAAAATACCAGGACTCATCATTGCAGAATTAGATGGAGAAACTTAAAAGATACAAATAAAATTAATTTTATGAGTAAAATTCAAGATTTCAAAATTTGGGATATTCATGAAGAAGCAAATGTGATGTGGGATAAAGTAACAAACGCTATTAAACAGGTAACAAAAGATGTTCTTGGAGAATCAAAGGGAAAAATATTTACAAATAAAAATAGTTGGTGGTGGAATAATAATGTGCAAGAAAAGATAAAATATAAGAAGTTATGTTATAAAAATTGGTTTAAATGTAAAAGCTTAGAGAACTGGAGAAAATATCAAACGGCTCGCAGGGAGTCTAAAAGAACAATCTGTGATGCTAAAAATTCTGCTTTTAATGATCTTTATAATAGATTAGATACTAAGGAGGGTGAAAAATATATGTATAAACTAGCCAAACAAAGAGAAAAGAAAAGTAAAGATTTAACTCAAGTAAAGTGTATTAAAGATGAAAATCAAAAAGTACTTTTCTTAGAAAAAGATATTCAACATAGGTGGGTGAGTTACTTT